AAAGAATGCATTTATCAAACTAGATTATCATGCAACTACAGAGATCACCCTCCACATATTCTTAACATAAATATTTTATTCACTAATCTTGCAGAGAAAAATTTAGTGGGACAGGTTAACAGTTTTAACTGAAAGTTATGTTTTAGAAAAAGGATAAATTAGTATTTCTATGCAAATATTACTATACTTTTAGAATACATGTGAATAGCATAAAATAATTTTTTCTAAAGCCTAGAATCATTAAAGTAATGGTTAAACATTTCTGTAATAATAAAACATAAAAATACATGGAAGTACTTTATATATTCAAGTTTTAACAAACATTTGAACATGTTAAAGGTGATCCAATTTTCAGTCTTGAAGGATGGTCATTATTCTTTCATATCGAATTCTTTCCTCATGCTCTTCTTACTGATTCCTATTAAATGATGTGTTGTATAAGGAGAGAATTTTGGAAATACATGGAAATTAAATGACATGCTCCCAAACAACCTATGGATCAAAGAAGAAATTAAAAGAGAAATTTAAAAATAACTGGAGACAAATGAGAATGGACACACTAGCATTGATGAGAAGAAGCAAAAGTAGTTCCAAGAAGAAACTTTATAGTAATAAATACCTACATCAAAAAGAAGAAAGATCTAAAATTAACAACCTAAGGTAACACTTCAAGAAACCAAAAAAAAAAGAAAGAAAGAAAGGAAAAAGAAAGAATAAACTAGGCCTAGAAGTAGGAGAAAGAAGGAAATAATAAAATTCTAGGTAGAAATGAAATAGAGACTAAGGAAACAATGGCAGATATTAGCAAAACTGCCGCTTGGGTTTTGGAAAAGATAAGCGAAATTGACAAAACTTTAGCTAAACTTACTAAGAAAAAAAGAGAGAAACTCAGATAAGATCTGAATGGAAAGAGGAGACAATATAACTGATACTTCAGAAATACAAAGGATCATAAGAGACTACTCTGAACAATTATATGCCAACAAACTGGATAACCTAGAAGGAATAGACAAATTCCTAGACATATAACCTACCAACACTGAATCATGAAGAAATAGATATGAGCAGATCAGTGAAAAGGAGAGTTTATCAGTAACAAGAAATACCCTATCTAAGAAAAGTCCAGAACCTGATGGTTTTACTGCTGAATTCTGCCAAACATTTAAGGAACTAATACCAATTCTTCTTAAAATCCTTCAAATAACTGAAGATAAGGGACCACTTCCAAACTTATTTTATAAGCCCAGCATTACCGTGATAACAAAGCCAAAGACACTACAAGAAAAGAACGTTACAGATCAATATTTTTGGTGAACATAGATGCAAAAATCCTCAACAAAATACTAGCCAACGAAATTTAACAGCACATTAAAAGGATAATTCACTGTGATCAAGTGGGATTAATCTCAGGGATGCCATGATTCCACCTTTGCAAATCTACAAATATGATACCTTACATTAGTAAAATGAAGGACAAAAACCATATGATCATCTCAATAGATGCACAAAAAGCATTTGACAAAATTCAACATCTTTAATGATAAAAGCTGCCAACAAATTAGCTTTAGAAGGAGTGTACCTGAACATAATAAAGACTGTATATGACAAATCCATAGCTAACATACCCAGTGGTGAAAAGCTGAAAGGTTTTTCTCTAAGATCAAGAATAAGACAGAGATATCTACTTGTAGCACTTCTATTCAGCATAATACTGGAAGCCCTAGACAGAGAAATCATGCAAGAAAGGAAATAAAATTGGCATCGAAATTGAAAAAGAAAAAAATAAATTGTCTCTTTTTGCAGATGACATAATCTTATATTAGAAAATCCTTACTCCACCAAAATAACTGTTAGAACTAACAAACAAATTCTGTAAATTAGCAGGATACAAAATCAACATAAAAAAATTAGCAACGTTTCCATACACTAACAAGTAACTATGCTTAAAAAATTAATAAAATAATCCCATTCACAATAGCTAAAAAAAAAAACAAACTTGGT